CCGTATTAGTATTTTCATAACCTAATATTTCATACATTAGCGTTTGTACTGTATCATCAGAACATGTTTCCATTTTCAGAGCTTTTCTATTGCTACATAACAGGAATTAATCAATACAAAAGTTACTTTAACTTTATTATTTTCTTGCAATGGCGAGCCGTCAGGGCCCTCTAGGCCAGTGGTTCCCAACCTTTTTTTTACCAAGGCACCCCTGAAAATATTTCTCGACCCCAAGGCACCCCAACTTTTTGTAGATTTAAAAACCACTTCAGAGCTTAAACTAAAAACCATAAATACAGCATAAATTGGTTTTCAAATGGGTATTTAATTGAATAGAACATTTTATAGAACAAATAATGTATTCACACATAATAACAAGAACCAGACTAAAAATGTCAACACCATTTCTATGATGAATTCAATATTATAAACAGGCCTACTAAGTAGGCTCTTTTGTTTTGGCTGAAAATAGTAGGCCTACCTGTGTAAAAACACGAATACATATCAATACAGTTATTATTTTACATTTGGATTTCAAAAGAGGCAGGCCTATGATCACTTAGATTAAATAATAACTTAATAGAATTGGAGGGACGAAACAATGCCCTCTGACCTGACTGTGGTCATGTGACTCATCAACCACATCCCAAATATGAAACATTCTGCATTTCGCTATCCAGATAATACTGATTGACAAAATCATAAATCATACATTTATAAGAAAGGCACACAAATGAACATCCAAACTGTTGAGATTTGATGGGATATATGTCCTCACTTGTATGTGGTACTGTACTGTTCCATGTGATGTGCAATGTTGTGCTTGTGCCACAGTGAGGCGCAAGGACAAGGGGTATAGGATGCATGCCTGCCTCCTATAGGCTAATCACAGCTCTTGATTGCCACGTGTGTGTGGAACCAGTTCATTCCAGTGGAGGCTGTCCCCGTGAGAGTGATGCGTGCAGCCCTTATAATAAAATATGCCAGGCTTGGCTAAATGGATTACATCTCCGTGTTTTTCTCCGAATGCAACGTTAAGCTGCAGAACTAAGCGTAACTTAACAGGTTATGGGCCCAGGAGTCGTTCGGAAGAAAAGTTTGTCGGTTTCCACCGTGTAGTAGTCGCAACAAACAGCGTGCTAACGGGTTGCTAAGCTAGCAAGGAGAGCAAGCTAGCATCATGGATCAACGAGGAACAAGCAGGTTGCCTCGACTGGCGTTCGACGGAGATGAGACCAAATATGAGATTTGGGAGACCAAAATGTTGGGACATTTCCATTTAATTGGACTAAAACACACGGTCCTGGCGAGATCGAGGACTGAAGCGGAAAGAGCGGCAGACGACAAGAAGCATGCCGACGCTTATGCCGAGATTGATTCAACTGTTTGGACGAAAGAGAGCCTCTTGCATTAGTTATGAGGGATGCTGCCGACGATGGAAGAAAGGCTCTTAAACAATTAAGAGGTATTATATGCCGTGAAGGAAACCCCGGATAGATGTTAACTGTACCCATGCTTACATCGTCCAGAAAGCGGCCGACGAAAGTATTATGGACTACGATCATCAGAGCAGAAACAGCCATCACATGCACTGGCGAAAAATGCAGAATGTTCCAGTATTTGGGATGTCGGTCTGCTTGTTGCTCATGCTCTACAAGTCACTGCGTGCAGTAAGGCATTGTTATCGTCCGTCACATTCTATTGTTATTATATCACTTAGCGTGATTCATAGACTAAGCTCCGCATTTTGAAGATACAGAGAAGTACAAATAATGCAGCTGAGTTGGGCGACAGTGTGATGAAGTACCCAGTGTGAAGGGCGCGACTTTCCAGCCAGACAAACAGCGTGACGGTACAAGAAGTGACACAGAGATTGAATGTGCTTCAAGTGTGGCACCAAATGGTCAGCCGAGCGAAAGGACTGTCGACAGAACACATGGTGTAGTCGATGCAGAAATGTCGACACCACTACCAAATACGCTGACCATGTATGGTGTATGGATATGGGTTTTTAAGTATTAAAGCTCTGGATGGAGCGTGTAAAATCACAAGAAGTTGATGACGTCGGGTCCGGGTATTTCGCGGTGCTCTGTAAGAATGAAGGTGGGACGCGGAGCAGAGTACGGCTAGCGCATCCATGAAGAAGGGCCTGATGGATGTACACGTAAGGCCACTATTGTATATGATCATTCCTGTTATGTACCCAGTACAAAGATTCGAAAATGGAACATGTCTGTGTACAGTACCAAACGCTGAATGTATGCAATAGCGTCGAGTGGATCAGTACGGCGATCATCGATATGCAGCTTTAGATCTCTCAGAGATGTTCAGATGCTTGGGATTTCCCTAATCGGACAAGCGTAGGACTGACCTCAAGCCGGACGTTAAGAGACGTTTCTCTATCATACCGTCGTACCCCCAGACATCTTCATCCGGTAAAGCGCGACCTACCAGTGGGGGCATCGATTGTCTTTAAAGAAGAGGAAGACGCACTGTATTAACCAGAGACGGTCACCAGATTTGCATTCATGTTTATGGAAAATTGTACTATCTGGAATACTGAGGGTGACTCTATATGCTCCAATGTACATGCATGTCATGACATTCAGACATGGCCATGAGATATTAGCCACTGTAATTATGACGATGTTCTTAATGTTGCAGAATGTGGTTGAGTGTATGCCAGTTCAAAGGCAAAGCGTTAGTTCCCAACATGAGTGTGAGGTGTGTTCATGGATAGTTTGGCCCAAACGGCGAATTGACTAACCCTGATACCATAGCAGAGGCTCCCTTACAGATGGTGCCACACAGACCTAGCAGGTCCTGTAGCCACACAGTCAGCAGTATGGTTACAAATATGCGCTGTCGTTCACTGACGATTACTCGATGCGGCAGTGTTCGTATATTTTCTGAAAAAGAAAAGCGACACCAGTACAAGCTACGGAAAAGTTCCTAGCAGGAGTATAAGTCCCTTATGGGGAAAGTGATGTGCATGCGATTCAGATAACGGAACGGAGTATACATTGCAATGATTGTTCCAAAACACTGATGAGGACAAAAATAAAAGCAGAGACATGGAAACGTCAGCTCCGGTATTCCCGCACCAGAACGGACTGGCTGAGAGGGGTTGGCGTTACTCTATTTGAGAGGGCAGCGTGCATGCTAGTGAAAGCAAGCATACCGAAAACAGCTATGGCACTATGCAATACAACCGCAGCGGGTGGTACGTACAGTATGCTTTATTAGCGTACAGGGTCCAGACCCCTTACAGCTGGCTGACAGGCAAGAAGGCTAATGTATCTAACACTGCGAAAATTTGGGTCTGTATGCCGACATGTACAAACAGGATAAGGTAAACTTGGATTCCAGGTGTGACCAGGGGTTTTGTGGGATATGACAAAAACGGGGCATATTTGGTATATAATCCAGATACTTAAATAAAGTACACAGAAACTCAGGAGCTTAGTGAAGTTTGTGAGCAGTGCAGCGTAGAGAAACAGACACAAGACAGCAGAGAACAGACCAAATGATGGGGCTATGGCCATATGAGGACAGCCTAGACTAGGAGACCACAGCAAGAGGTCAATAGAGGAGAGCGGAAATGCTCAAGAGCCAGTGTGCGGAGTAGAAGTACACATAGTGGTGGTCCAGGTTGCAGTTTATGAGGCCAAATGGCCACTAACCAAAACACAAAAGAGCGCGCTGTGACCAAAGTGCATGAACCGTGAGACTGAGGGGGTATGCCAANCTCTTAAAAAAGAATAATCTGGACGCATCCGTAATGAATAATTATAGGCCAATATCAAACCTCCCTTTTTTAGGCAAAATTATTGAAAAAGTTGTTTTTCAACAGCTGAGTAATTTCATGCTTTTAAATAACGGTTTTGATGTGTTCCAGTCAGGCTTTCGACCAAACCACAGCACTGAGACTGCTCTTGTTAAAGTCTTCAATGACATCCACTTAAACACAGACAGTGGCAGAATCTCAGTGTTAGTATTATTAGATCTCCGCGCTGCATTTGATACTGTTGACCACAACATATTGCTAGACCGACTAGAAAACTGGGTGGGACTTTCGGCAACAGTTCTAAATTGGTTTGAATCCTACTTAAAGGATAGAAAAAACATTGTCTCTATAGGCAACTACACATCAGCGTTGACAAATATGACATATGAGGTTCCTCAAGGCTACATCTTAGGACCTCTGCTTTTTAATATCTATATGCTACCACTGGCTCAAATAATGAAAAACAACGACCGAAGTTATCATAGCTATGCAGATGACACCCACATTTATATAAAGATTTCACCAGGAGACTATTCTCCAATTACAACACTGAGTAAGTGCATTGAGCACACCAATGACTGGATGAGTAGGAACTTTCTCCAATTGAACAAAAATAAAACTGAGATTATTGTTTTTGGAGCAAAGGAGGAACGAACAAAAGTCATCGCAGAGCTTCAGGCGGCAGACATCAAAACGACAAGCCAGAAATCTAGGTGTAGTGATGGACTCTGACCTGAATTGTAACAGTCATATTACAAAAATTATTAAGTCTGCATACTATCACCTTAAGTTCTAGGATTAAAAGACCAATGTCACAGCAGGATTTGGAAAAACTTGTCCATGCTTTTATTTTCAGTAGACTCGACTACTGTAATGGTGTCTTCATAGGTCTCTCTAAAAAATCTATTAGAAAGCTGCAGCTAATTGAGAACGCCGCTGCTCGAGTCCTCACTAACACTAAAATAGTGAATCACATCAGTCAAATTCTGAAATCTTTACACTGGCTTCCAGTTCGTCAAATTATTTATTTTAAAGTACTGCTGCTGGTTTTAAAAGCACTGAATGGTTTAGGACCAAATTATATGAACGATCTCCTGCAAAACTGTGAACCATGCAGGAGTCTCAGGTCCTCTGGGACGGGTCTGCTCTCTGTTCCAAGAGTAAGAACTAAACATGGAGAAGCAGTCTTTAGCTATTATGCCCCGACTATCTGGAACAAACTCCCTGAATCCTGCAGGTCCACTGCAACTCTTACTACTTTTAAATCCAGGCTAAAATCCTATCTTTTTGTCGCTGCATTTGAGTGAACTGTTTATATCCACACTGCAGTATGGTTTTTTTCATGTATTCTATATATGTTGTGTTTATTTAGTTATCTTTGCTTTTTAATGCCTGTTTTTAAATGCCATTTTATTAAGTGTTTCTGCTGTATTTAGGTAATACTTTATATTAAGGTACACAAATTAAACACTTATTAATGCCTTATTCTACATGACCATATTATATAAGTAATAAGCCATTAGTTGAGAGTTTTTCCTCAATAACCCTCTAATTAGTGCTTATTTATTGCAATTAAGGAAGTTGTTGTACATGAGTTTTTGTCTTAATATGCTCTGCTCAATATGGGCCTAATAAAGCAGTAGTACCACAAGAATAATAATTCTACCATAATAACACTTAACAAATATGATCTGTTCTTATGTAACAAGACATAAAACTATAAGTCTTAATTGTGTCTAAATAACTCAAAATNGCCTTCCATCTGTGCACAAACTTATCTTGTGCCCTCATTGGTCATGTGCGCGTTTGTGTGTGCCACTAATGTAAGGAAATGGCAGATTTGTTCCGGCTGTGTATTTTCAAATTCTAGCGAACTCGAGCTGGTTTCTCCAAAATGACCTACCCCACCTTTAAATGAAGTTATTTTGGTAAAAACTAATGAAAAATATAACTAAACATTTTTTTTTTTATGTTTTCAAATAGGATTTCTTTTTCAATATCTTAGGGCCTCAGAGAGGGCCTAGAGGGCCCTGACGGCTCGCCACTGAAACCTAATGATTATTTTACAAATCAAACGGCAGATTCATTCATAATGAAAGGTGGGATCAGCTCTGAATGAAAACATGTGTCATGTGCGTTAGCTACATTTTCAATGTCTACTCTGAAACAATGACACAAATTGTATTACAAACACAAGATGTGTGTATGATGGAATCATGTTTGCATACCTGTCAAGCTTTCTGATGCCTCTTTACCTCCAATAATGTTTTTTCTAATGCATCAACTTGATTATAAGGTAATAGTGTACTGTATTACATTTCTTAATTAATCCCTCAGCAGACTTAAGACCTGATCTAACAAGAGTTTCATGACATGTGCGATTCATTTAGTATCTTCTCAGACCTAGACTTGTGTATGATTCTGGGTGCATCTCTGGGCTTATCTATTCCCTGCACTCTCCTCGGTGAACAGTTAAGTGGCAGGTATCATAGGCTGTCAGGGAGCTGGATGCAGACAGCACAGCACAAAACAGAGAACTGACCTCCTGACTGCTCATTTCTATGCCTTGCTAGTTGCTGATGATGTTCCTCTGGCCAGCTTGACAGTTTGGAACAGGTGCCAAGAAGTTCAAGGAGTTTACATTGGAAGCTGTGAATGCCTCTGTCCCTGCAAAAGGTGGCAAAAATGAGAAAATGTAACCTTTATGCAATGATATGTCCCACTGCGAGTTGTGAACCCCGAGTGAAAGGGCTCATAGGAACACTCAGACAACACCTGTAATGTCATATTCTACATCATCAAGTTTGATATGTAGTTGCACATATTACATTACATGACATGTCATTTGTTAGACGCTTTTATCTAAAGCGACTTACATACATTCAGTACTGTGGACAATACTCACAGGAGCAATTTGGGGTGAAGTGTCTTGCCCAGGGACACAACGACATGCTGACTGCAGTGGGACTCAAACTTGCTATCCCCTGATTTGAAGGACATGTCATGCAGGAGATCAACATTTGCCGCCTTAAGCCTCAGTTTGCATTTGTATTAACTGTAACCAATAACTTTCCCTAACCATAACCAAATCCTGTCTGCATTGGCAGTAAAACAAAAATGATTGGCCCAATCCAGGAGTTTTTTAAGATGGGACCCATAATCTTTTCACATTGTCCATATTGCTAATTTGAAACCTAAACCAAATGAGACATGTTTAGAATATTCACTTAATAAGAAAGGTCCTCTCTATGCTAATGAAGAAGAGCCTGAAAAAGGTCTCTTCCCCAGGCATCCTTTGTACCTGCTGCCATCTGGAGTAGACATTTGAAAACGTGGGCATTTCAGCACAGGTCAGGTCTGCCCTAATTAGTATTTCATCATAATTACTGTACACAGAGACTGCAGACTGACAACTCTATTGAAATTGCTGTAATGCTGCAGGAAGATAGTGACTGAATAAACGGGAATATTACCCTATCATAATGGGATATCTCTTGATGCTGCTAATGGCTCGTTCCCTGATGTTGAAGACTTGATTAAAAAGACAGAAATACTGTTTGAGGGGACAAATAAAAATAAAGAGATAAAAGAAAGAAGCAGAGAATGTACTATGTAATGTACTATCACAATGTGTTATCAGATGTTACCTTTGTGATGCATCCTTGTAATACAGGGCACTTGACAAGAGTATAAAGAAAGCCAGATAAGCAACAGGGAAGAGTGCCTAGTAGGAGCTAAGCCATCACAACCCCCATTGGCAAATATTATTATTTTTCTGAAAATAAACAAATCTAACAGGCAATAAAATTGCATATGACAATTATATTATTATACAATTGATAATTAGAGCCAAAGCCACATTGTTGCCCAATACTTAATAAGACAATTGTCCAATGATTTGCATAGGAACAAACACAAGTGGTCTACGCACGGCATACTGCCTACCCAACATATTATAAAAAATCTACTTGGCAGTGCCAAAGTACACAATTGTAGAAACATTGTTCATTAAATATTCAACAACAATAAGTTAATTATTGTTACCATGGTTCGTTGGCAAGGCAAGCACAATAGGCTGTTGGCATGCACATACTTGGAAAATAAATGCTCAAACTTTGAGAAAGAAAGTTCATGTTGCAATCCAGATTTTGGGTAACTGGAGTTCATGACAATGCTGGCTGTACAATGCAATCTGGAAAAGGGGCTGAAGCAGGTTGAATACACTATAAGTGGGAGGAATATATTATTTGCATATACGGTTGGGGCAGGCTTTCCAAGTGTCCAATCACATTAACTTCTCTCTTCGCCTTTAGCAGCAGACAGTTTCCTAATGGGAAATGAGCAGAGTCCAGACTCGTTTCTGTGAGAAAGGTGCTCTATAGTCCCAGGAGGGGCAAAGAAATGAAGCACAGAGACACAGAAACCCGGATATTAATTTACAACAGCCACAATATGTGGCCATGGGACACTGAGTCAAATCAATCAATGTTTATTTATATAGCCCAATATCACAAATGTTACATTTGTCTCAGTGGACTTCACAGTTTGTACAGAATATCAGTATGACAATACGACACCCTCTGTACAAACTGTGAAGTCCACTGAGACAAATGTAACATTTGTGATATTGGGCTATATAAATAAACATTNCGTGTGCCTTGGCTATATTTACACCATAACGGTGCACAGCTGATAGAAAGGGACTTGTAGTTTTTAAAGATATTACTGATTTACTGAACTACCTTTCCAACTCCTCATGCAGTTGACTGCTACGGCCCGTCTACACAGCAGCGTTAAAAAATCTTCCAACGCTTCCAACGCTTCTCTGCCCATTGACTTTGAGTGGGGTGACGTCACTTTGCCTCGCTTTTCGCCGAACTGCATTGTGGGGAAGCAATGCGAAGATTTCCAGGATTTCCAGGATTTTCAGGATTCAAAAGTTGAGCAATGTTCAACTTTTGAAGCTGAGGTGGAAGCGTCAGCCAATCAAATCCCGTTTATGCAAATATGACAGTACAAGCGCTAGCCAATCAAACCGCGTGCAAGCTGGGAGAGCCAGACCGCAGTTCATTTTCTATATTCCTGAAAGTGGAGGAGAAATTAGTTATTGCTGTAGCAAATCACCCGGTTCTTTATGACCAGTCGCTAATAACTTACCGGGATACAAACCGGAGGAACCAGGCATGGAGGGAGGTGGCAGAGTGAGTGGGTGAAACTGGTAGGTTTTCGCCTGTTTGGGGATTTTATATCCAGTTTACTTCGTTTTAACATTGCTATTGCTTTGTATGTCGGGGGCGGGAGATTCATGTGATTGGTTGTTGGTCGCGTTGCTTGCAAAAAATCCCCAAGCTTTCAGACATGCCCAGCTCAAAGATTTTCAAGATTTTTTTAAAGCTGCTGTGTGGACGGGCCGCTACAGGTCTATACAGGTTCATGGTAAAATGCATAAGCTTCAAATCGAGAGACTGAAACTGTATTTTTCTTTACCGTTCTGTTTTAATTTCACAATAAAGTTAATAGTAATATTATGTTTGATATTATTATGTTGTATTAACTAGACCACTGTTTTTTGAACCCGCACCGCCTAGTGGTTAAAGCACTAGGTGATAGTGTAATGAGCGTTGCGGTTCTTTTCTGGTGTAATCTAAGGCATTGCAATTTACACTAGACCACAGTTTGTTTCCCGGGGAAAAAAATGCTAATTAACTCCCCCAAAGCCAGGAGGCATCTCATCTTCATATATACATTTTACTAAATAAGTTCAGACTTATGTAACCACAATTTGGGAACATTTTGTCTCCTGCTCCAGTTCCTTCATCACAAATTAAATGCAGTGTGCTTGGCAAAGAAGATGACTAAATTAAAAATGTTAAAATGCAAAATGCCAGGAACAGGCAACTACAGGAGTGACAGCAACAATGATAGGCATGTAAGAAGAGGACTAGAGATGGATATTGTTGCTTCCAGGCCTTCAAACAGGGAGTGGAACTCAGAGACACGGCATATTCATTGTGCAAACACCACCTGCTGAAAACTATTTGGTTGCTGCAGTTTCCACTCCAGGCTGCTCAATCTCAACAGAACACAAATATAAATAAACATGTGTTTCATATGTGCACACATGTAAACAGACAGCTTTCCATCACAGCCAAAACTACCACTGGAATGAGAAACAACAATGAGCCTCATGCATGAAGTGATAAATGTATGTCCTCCTATTTTCTTTACTGTATCGTGATTTGTTTATATTTTGTCAGTACCCAATCTGATTTTACCAATGCTTTCTCTTAGAC